GCCTGTGGATTTAGTTTGTGTAATTTTTGAGAAAACAGGAGATTATTTTGAAACTAAGATTTGTTAAGAACGCCATTTTATTAACATTGCTATGTTAAATGTATAAGTATTGAACTCTCAGTGAAATATGAGACATTTTACCCAGTGACATTTTAAATACATATCATTGTAGGGGAAGCCTGTGGGGACACCAGATGCTGGTGCTTATTTCCGCGTGCTGGCAGAGCATGGAGTGGCTGCCTTGTTTACAGCACCGACTGCAATTAGAGCAATCCGTCAACAGGACCCTGGGGCAGCCTTGGGGAAGCAGTACCCTCTGACAAGGTGAACTCAGGATGCACAGGGCAAATTATATTACAAACTACCATCAAAATAAATAACCAATGTTGTATTTTTTCTAGTACTGGGATAACTGTATGAAAAGAACCAAAACTTCTGAATATTATTAAGATTGAGTATTCAGAATACATCTATGAAACATTTGGAATTTTAAATATACCAACTTTTTTAAAAACAATAAAAAATATAAATTTTATTTCAGTTTAAAACTTGCAACGTATTTCTTTTCATAAAAATGTTGCTTATATTTTGTCTTAAGGTAAAATGCTGATTATGACTTAAAACATATATACATATGTACATATGTAGCAATTGTGTTCTGAAAACAGAAAAATGGCTTCAATGGAAGAATAGCATAGAACTTAAAAATTATAGTCCAAATTACCTTTGTTGAAAGAGTGAAGGAAATTATTTTTCTTTTCTTTTGTAATGATATGTTCTAAATGGTTTGTATATTTTTGTTCCGGCTTATTGACATCCGTTTTGGTATAATGATATGTACAGTCAAAGGGAATGATAGCAATTTGTGTTTTCAAGGCAGTTTCAAAGCATCAATTCTCACTGAACTTCTTTGAAATAGGTCATTGTTATCATAAACTAAATGAGAAATTTTGTGGTTTCTACAAGTCAAAAAGTAGATTAGAATTAAGTCATTTGAATCTTTAAATACTAGAATATTTGAATTTTGTGTTTCTATGACCCAAAGAAAGAGTTAAAATGAATAATATACATTAAATTACAGTGTAAGCAAGAAGCTTTCAGTTTGGCCATGGTCAGTTTTCATTTGTCTTTGTTTGCTTTTCCTTTTATTCATTTTAAGAAAAAAGTAGATCTAGATTTATATAAAATTTGATTTGTAATCTAAAGACTACACTCTAATTAAAATAAAAGGATGCTCATAAAATGAATCTTCCATTATAATATTTTAATCCATTATTTGTTTTCTCCTTTACTAAGTACATTTCCATTTAGTTTCCTTCCCTTAAGCCCAAAGGATAAAAATAAATACATTTGAGTAAAACTTTCTTAGGGTGTGAACAATCTCTGTGCTTTAAGACAACTTCAAGGATTTTGAAGAAACTGTGATTATAGTTCTTTGCAGTGTCTCTTTATTGATAAAGGTACCCTATTGCAGGACATGAAGTTGTGTGACCAGCAAGATAAGACCTTGCTTTGGTGTATAATTTTCTTTTCCCATTTGTACATGGGTTTTAATTTTATCCTCCACTGTGAAGGCAGAAACTCTTTTTAGTTTGCATAGTGTATAAATCGGAAGGAAGATGGGGCAATCTACTTCCGTAGTGATACTGCCTCGGAAACCCAAGGAGGGGTCGCTATGAGTGGGGTCCAACTTGACAGCACATAACAACAACAAGTGTATAAAGCATCAAACAATGCTGACTGCCTACTAAATCACCATTCTTTTCAAACTAATATTCCTAGACATGAAGTACGAAATTTTAGTATGAGAGAAATTGCAGGAAGTTCTCGCTGATTATAACCCTCTGTCTCTAGGCATGAATAAAAAAGTTATTCATGATGATGTGTGCATCTGTTTCTTATAGATATTTAAGAATACAGACTCTGCACACATTCTCAACCTATTCAAATTATTACAATTAAAAATGCAAACACTTACTGATCTTCTGCTATGTGCCAGGCACTGTTGTGAACAACTTAAGTTTCTTATATTCATTAGTCATCACAACAATCCTGCAAGGTAGGAATTGTGATTATTCTCATTTTATAAAGCAGTAAAGCTAGGGTAAATTTAAGTAACTCTTTTAAAATAAGCTAACTCAGGCAATCTGAATAGGTGTCACTCTCTTAACTATATGTTGCGATATGTTTTTCTGTTAAGAGGTAAATTAGGAAAGTAAGTCTTGACTCAAGGATTTTGTTATTCGTGGAATAAAAACAGCTTCTTCTATTCATGTTTTTTATTTATTCAAATAATACCATCATGGAACTATTTTAATAGAATTTACTTGTGGTCTTAGGAGCAACATTGACCTAAAATAAAAATGTCTTATTTTAGAAAAAAAAGGAAACTAAGCCACAAAAATTTTAAATGATTTATCAAGATTGTACAGTGGAATAGAGACATAATAAAGAGCGGAACTCAGGTTTTGTTAATACAACTATATCTTTAAATTCATGAATAAGATAATTCACATTGATCTACTCAGCTGAAATTCACTAGATATTACAATTGCTGGCTTATGATTTATTCCCAGAGTTTGCTTCTCCCTTCCTTTGTAGAACATTTCTGGTGATGAAACTTTCTTTTAAAAATGTGTTAGTTACATATCTCATTGCAAATTGTTTTAAGATAAAGTTAGATATTTGCTAAATAATTCAGTTTTCAAAATAAATTTAAAAGCAGACTCTGAAATATGTAGCTAAACAGAACTATGAACTTATTTTCAGATAATAATCCAAAAGACAAGTCTGAAATAGTAGCTTAGATGTCATCTAGAATAATGCTCTTATTTTACAGGTGAGAAAACTTTGTCAACAAGAAGTGAAATGACATCCCTAGGATCAAAAAGTTACTGTGGGAAAAGGCGGGGCTAGGCAGTGCTGAATACTAGTTAAATTCTCACACTGGAGTTAGACTCACTGGATTCAAACCATTTATTAGTTGTGTAACTAATAAAGTTACATAACTCCTCTGTTCTCTTGAGGTGTTCTTAACCCATGTTGATGACTGACACTGGCCACTAATTAGTTTCTTTGTCCTATTTTAGATTTCCGTTTCAAGCCTATTCTGTCCTCATGAAATGAGCTGGGGAGTGTTCTTGCTTCTTCCTCTCCTCTCATATTTCAAAAAGTTTGTGAAAGATTGGCTTTATTAAAAAAGTTAAAAATATTCATGGGTGTACACAGAAAAGGAAGAAAAGATGGAAATGGATGTCAGAAGAGACTCTGAACCTTGCTCTTGAATGGAGAGTAGCAAAAGAGAATGGAAAACAAATGATGAAATAAAAGAGCTGAATAGAGAATTTCAAAGGGTTACTTGAGAAGACAAAGTAAAGTATTACAATGAAATGTGCAAGGCCTGGAGTCAGAAAACCAAAAAGAAAGAACATACTCGGCATCTCACCAGCTGAAAGAATTGAAGAAAAAATTCAGTAACTTTCATTGAAATATTAAAGGATTCTATTGATGAAATGTTGAATGATGCAGGAAGCATCAAGAGAAGAGGAAGAAATATGGAATACACAGAGTCACTGTACCAAAATGCATTAGTTGACATTCAACCATTTCAGGAGGTGACATATAAATAAGAACTGATGGTACTAAAGGAAGAAGTCCAAGCTGCACTGAAGGCATTGGTGAAAAACAAGGGCCCAGGAATTGATGGAATGCTCACTGAAATGTTTCAACAAACAGATACAGAGCTGGAGGCACTCACTCATTTATGCTGAGAAATTTGGAAGACAGCTAAGCTGGATTTAGAAGAGGACATAGAACAAAGGATATCATTGCCAAAGTCAGATGGATCTTGGCTGAAAGCAAAGAATATCAGAAAGATGTTTATCTTTGTTTTATTCACTATAGAAAGACATTTGACTGTGTATATCATAACAAATTATGAATAGCACTGTAAAGAATGGGAATTTCAGAACACTTAATTGTGCTCATGAGGAAATTGTACATAGACCGATAGGCTGTTGTTTGAACAGAAAAAGGGGATAGTGTATAGTTTAAAATAAGGAAGAATGTGAATCAGGGTTGTATCCTTTCCCCAGACATAATCTGTATATTGAGCATATAATCAGAGAACCAGATTATATGAAGAAGACAGCAGCATCAGGATCTGAGGAAGACTAGTTAGCAACCTGTGATATACAAGTGACACAACCTTGCTTGCTGAAAGTGAACAAGAATCGAAGCATTTATTTATGAAGATCAAAGACAACAGCCTTGGGTGTGGAATACACCTCATTATCTTAATGAAAACAAAAGTCCTCATAACTGGACTAATAAGCAACTTCCTGATTAATGGAGAAAAGATTGAAGTTGTCAAGGATTTCATTTTACTCGGATCCACAATAAATGCCATTGGAAGAAGCAGTCAAGAAATCAAATGACATATTTTATTGGACAAATCTTCAAAAAAAAAAACAAAACTCTTTAATCTGTTTAAGACCAAAGATGTAACTTTGAAGACTAAGGTGCACCTGACCCAAACCATGGTATTTTCAATAACCTCATGCTTGTGAGAGCTGGACAATGAATAAGGAAGATTGAAGAAGAATTGCTCCATTTGAATTGTGGTGTTGGCAAAGAATACTGAAAATACCATAGACTGCCAGAAGAACAAACAAATCTGTCTTGGAAGAAGGAACAGCTGGATTACTCTTTAGAAGAAAGAATGGCCAGAGTTTGTCTCGTGTACTTTGGTCATGATGTCAGAGGAACCAGTTCCTGGAGAAGGATATCATACTTGGTACAGTAGAGGGTCAGCAATAAAGGGGAAGAGCCTCAATGATATGGACTGACACAGTGGCTGCACCAGTGGGCTCAAGCATAGCAAAGATTGGGAGGATGGCCCAGGATGGGGCAGTGTTTTGTTTGTTGTACATAAGGTGTCTGTGAGTCACATCCAACTCAATGACACCAAATAGCAGCAACAACATTCACAAGTGAAGCTTTCTGGGCCTTGGGTTTTCATTATGGAAAGGTTTTAAATTATGAATTCATTTTCCTGTGGTTCATACTGCTTCTTAAATCTGTGCCTTTATTTCTTTAATTAGTGTGGAGTATTTTATCTCTTTCAGTGTTACCTCTACCCTATTCTTGCTTCGTAGTCTTTGCCACTATAACGGCCATATGTTATTATTCTTTTACATGTCACCTAGATCTCTCATGCTCTGTTTCATGTTATTCTCTTTTTATCATTTGAATTTCAGTTTGATTATTTTATTCTAATCTACAGTCAGGTTTTCAAATCCTCTCTTCAATTATATGTAGCCTTT